TCAAGAAGTTTGTATTTCTAACAGGAAGTGAGTGCCTTTGGTGATGATGGTGAAGGAGATGACCTGGATATATGGACTGTGCAATGCAGTGGGACCTACTGGGAGCGGGACGATGCAGTGCGCTTCAAGCACATGGGAACTGAGGTGTTTCTCTCAATAACAGGGGAACAGTATGGCCACCCAATCAGAGGCCAACGGGAAGTTCATGGCATGTCTACTCCTAATCATCACAACTACTGGAAAGCAATGGAAGGAGTTTTCATCAAACCCAGTGTGGAGTCTGCAAAACATGATGAGCTCTGAATTGGTTTGAAGACTTAACCATGCTTGTTTAACCCCAGCTGATGAGCTGCTGCTCCTTGGTCTCTTGCAAATACTGTGTTGTCTAAGTCACTGACTCTGTACAACTGAAAGGCATTAGGAGGTTTCAGGAATCCATCGCTTCTGTGGGGGACTGCAGTTTCCTGGATTTTTGCATTGAAACTTGAGTTTTATAGTTGAATTGGTAAAGCAGCTTGTGCTTCTATTTGTTTTCACTGCAATTTTCTTAGTTCATTGCTTCCTTCTTTTTTGTTTCCCAGTTCCTTCTGGACTAAGGAAAAGTAAAATCTCTCAATCCCAAACACTGTACAGATTTGCATTTACTTTTTTGTAAACCCTGTGCAGTTATAATTATATTTTTGGAAACTAGTATGTGGTGTTCAGTGAAAGAAAGGTACTAAGTGCAAAGATGAAGTAAATTCAAAATGGGGAACATTTCTCTTACCAAATGTGGGGGCTTGTTTGTGGAGAAGATGGAACTGCCAATCCAGTTTTTTCTGAAAAATATCTGTGGTTCACTTGAAAGGTACTTCTGACATTTTATTATGAGTGGCAGTGTGTGCTTCATCTGCATTCAGAATCTTCTCTTTCGAGAGAGAGAACACATTTCATTTACATGTTGTTGAGGCAAGAGCACTTATTTTTTCACTTATTACTTTTTAAGAATTTGCGTTTTGGTAGTGGTTGTACTGCTACTATTTTAAATGATAAAATTGTTCTGTTCTGAGAACTACTCTAGAAAACTAATATTTATAGAAAACTGAGGTTCGTTAAACAAATTATTTCATATAGTCTGAAAGAGCAATTCTGTTGAACCTTGCCTTTTTACTCTTGCAAATAACCTCATATGATTCAATATTAGAACCCAGATAAAAGAAAAGGATAGATATATAGCTAGGTTTGCTCAGATTAGGAAAAAGGACAGATTCTTGTTTCATGTATAGGTCCTGAACTTCTGAGAAAGGGACCGTGCTGTGAATACTACTAGTCAGAAACTTTGTTCTTGAACAAATCATTGAATTTCTCTGTGCCTCTCTCCTCATCTCTAAAAAAAGAAATAATAATTATTAGAGTAGGGTGTAATGAGGGTTAACTAATGTGTGTGAAGCCTCATTTAGCATGAAAAGTGCTATATGAATTCTTGTTCTATTGCTTTGAATAATGAGGCCACATCTGTGGCTGTGTGGTATGGGGTGCCACAGACCCATCTGTGGTACCCCACACTGCACGTTCAGGCATTTCCTGCGCTGCTACCTTGCAGCATGGGGATTTTTTTTCCTGGGGGTCAAAAAAAAACCCATGCACAAAAAAAAAAAAAAAAAAGTGGGAAAGTGCATCTGGCTGCAGCATACAGCAGCCATGTCCACCAGAGCCTTGCTTCAGCTGCTGGCCAGGCTCCCAGCTTCAAGGGCACTATGGCTGTGGCTTCCCTGGCCCCTTGGACCTCAGGTAAGGCTGCTGGGGCCAAACTAGCTGCTGGTCCCAGCTTCCCCTATTCCTCTCAGGGTAACCTGCCACATGCCAGAGGGTGTGTGGCACAGGCATTCCTCAGGGACAAGTAGCAGCAGCAGCATAAGGTGTGTGGCTGCTTCTCATCCCCGAGGAACCAAACATCCATGCTTGTCTGGACAGTCTTTTTTTTTTTTTTTCAGCAGAGCAGAGACAAAGGTTGCAAAATCAGGGGCACCTGTTGCCATGGAGTGTTGACTTGCCATTCTAACTTCTGAACTTTCAGTTACTGAAGCAGGAGACTGCTTTGCTCCTTATACTGTGACTGTCACGATACTGATTTTCAGTTTGAGCATGCGTTGTTGCCATTAGTCACACAAATTGTAATTAATTTTTTCTTATTTGTTGATGTGCTTAACACCTTGTATTTGTTCTTGCTGTTGAACTGCACAGGCTGGCTTTGATTTCTCTTATGCTAAAGCTGTTTGCATTTTTAGTGTAACCATTACAAGAATCCTTATTTAGCAGTCTTGCAACACTCAACTACTTTCCTTACTGAAAAAAAAGGCAAGACTTGTTTCCTGTTGCTGTTGTGGATAATTTCTCTGAACATTGTCAGAAGTACTTTCATCAGGGACAATGGATGGATGTGTGGCAAGATGCCTCTCCAGGGAACAAAGAGGATGGGGTGGCCATGAAGCAGGCAGAAAGAGTCCCTGCAGCCCTCATTTTCTGGGCAAACCCCTTCCAGGTGTCTGCCATGCCTTTGTTTGTTATTTCAATGAGTGAGGCTGCCCCAGGGCTTCCAAAATTGTTCTTTCAAATGACTACCAGGTGCCCGTGGTCACTGCCTTATGGGTGAATTGCATGTCTCTGTCCATCCCCTACAGCACCATGCCTTGCAAATGGCATCTGGATTGAGATGTCTTCTTTCACTTAAGCTCCCTTCTCGGGTTCCTAGCCCTTTGCTGATCCCACACAGCCTCTCACGGAGTCCCTAGGAACCTCCTCCTCCCCATAGTTCCTCTCCAAACCTCCAGACTGCTTTGGGTGTTATCTCCAAGCTGGCCTTCTGGAGCTGCAGACATCTTGCTTAGGTGATATTCTCTTACCAGGCTCCCAGATGTTACTGCCAGCTTTTCTCGGGCTTGTAATTACACCTGCCACTCCCTGGGTCACCTGGCTCTCCAATTAGCTCTGGCCCACTCCTGCCAGCAGCTTTGCAGGGTGTCTGGCCTCTTAAAATGGCAGGCACCCCAAATGCCCTGCCACAGGATGGTCTTTGTACTGCTTTAATTTTTAGGAGTAACCATCGAAGCAGCAGTCAAAGGCTTCAGTAAAACTGTGGCCAAGTGCTTCTGCATAGAGAAAGTATGGAAACAAGCTCTAAAATTGCCATTTACACAATTCATTAATAATTCATCTGAGTTCATTTGATTAGTCAGCCTATTAAAGTGAAGATTAATAAAGATAATAATAACTGAAAAAAAAACCTTCTCTTCCTGTGTGCTGAGAAACAAGCTGCTTCTCCCCTCCTTTCTTGTTCTAGGAAGAAAGGCTATTCCCCGAACCCAGCATCATAAGTAACTGCAGAAGGAAGGGTGGTAGCACTTGTGGGAAAGAAGGGGTCACATCAAGCACATGTTCTGCATTTCCATGGGCCAAGCTCCTATACAGCCAGGTCTCATGGGTCAGGTCCAGTATTAGCACTCCTTGTAGGAAGACTGAGTTAGCGGAGGATGGGCCCAGCACTACATCCCTAGAGATGCACTTGATCTTCATTTGACCCATACTCAGTGAACTAATTAACTGTTCATCTCCTTGTATATCTGTTCCCAGACACTGAGAATGCTAAATCATAGCTACTGAGGAAGGAACTTGTTGGGCTTGCCCTTTTTAAGTAACAGTGGGTGATAGGGCAGAGAGAGAGAGAATTAAGAGTAGGGTCATAAGTATTCAGTTGGTTTTGCTTCCACTCATGTAGGCTAAAAATCTGTCACTTCCTCTGTTTAGTTGTACAGGTCTTCATTCCCTGCTACATGCAAATTTTTTTTACTCGGTGTCAATGGGTGAAATGTCCTGCAGCAAATTGATCTTTTATTTAAAGTACAGCTTGACTTTTGCAAGAAGTGCAGCCTTCCCCATTGCTGAGATGACTGTTTTCACAGCTGGAAAGAAAAGGGGAGAGATTCTCTTTTGATTAAAGAGATCAAACACTAAGATGTCGTCTCTTGGTTCAGCCTGTAACAACAGGTTTACACAGACCTTTAGTTTTAAAACAGAGCTCAAGTCCTGCAAACATCTGACTAATCCAACTAACTGGCATATATCTAAAGTTGAAGAATAGTTAAATGATTGCAGAATTGAAGCTATTAGAATACATTGATATCTGTTTATCTTAGAAATGCAGTGAATCGCATTTGTTGGCAGTAAATGGGCATCTTCCCTATCAAGTTGTCTGGTCTGTCTTTTTGCTAATGTATCCCTTTTCTGTTGCCTTTTCATTTCTGTGTTCCAGACACAAAATACGCTAACTGTGCTTTAAAAGGAAATTTGTGTTGGTATGTATTGAAACGGTCTGCTTGTTGTGCTTTGTGGGTTTGACAGAACCTTTTAAGAAATTTCTGTCAAAAAAGTTCTGATTGCCATGTGTGCGGCTGTAATTTTTCACGTGGATGAGACAAAAAAATCCACCCTGCAAGCAAAACTGGCATCCATGCAGAAAACTTTCTTTTCTATTTTATTGTTTATTTTTAAGTAAAATACAGAAGAGATACAAATTTATACTGCAAAAATGAGATCTCAATTTTGATTAAATTAATGCATACAGACAACCATTGCTTACCCTTCACTACCATACTTGTAGGAGACATCTTTTGTTCTAATGTGACCTAGTGTTGAAATTTCTGTGAGCTCCTTCATCTATCTTTAATGTTAATGAGCACATCCTCTTTCTTTCCAGATTCCTTATTTCTTAAGAAAAGTCTTCTGTCAGGGCATCTGGAAAATTGAACTGATGCATTTCTTGAGTTGATGAAGTTGCTTTAATGCTTCAGCAGTCATTGATGAAAGAGTATTTGCATCCTGTGAATTTATCCTTCAGCTCTCACATCAGCAAGTATATCGTCAAAGGCTTTATAAACTGGCATCCCTAAGCTGGCACCTTTACTGTTAGGTCAGTGTACCGTGTGACACCCCCCCCCCCCCCAAAACTCCCCTACCATCCATGTCATTGAACTGAATAAACAGAGGCCACAAAAATCATGAGTACAGGTGTGGAAAAAATAATGAGTATGGCTTGTGGTAGCTCTTTCTTTCATTTTTGGAACTCCTGGACTTGCAAGTATTTTGGAAATATTTGCTTCCCAGCACGCGCACACATTGCTGGAGTTTAAGAATGAATGAAATTGGAATGGTGCTATTCAGTATTCACCTTCTGTTGCTGGAACCCCTTACAATTCACAGTGCAATTCTTGGACTTCAAGGAAAACTTCCAACAGTACTGAGCTGTTATGACCATCACAAGAGTTAGGACTTTAAACAGGGAGTTCATCCCTGGGTTTTTTGTTTTTATTTTAGTGCAACAAGCTGTGTTATGGTAGTTGTGACTCAACAGAACTGCTCTTTCTGCATGTAAGCTTAAATCAAAACTAAGCATTTGTTTATTCAACTTACTCTTCTGTTAGTCATAGGCACAACTGGGAAAGATAAATAAGAACCTTGAAAGATGCACTATAAGAGAAGATGTTTTGGAAGAGGAATGGTGGAACAGTTGATGTAGTGGACTGACAGATTTTGGGGGGATAAAATCAAAATAGTTTTATGCAAATGTATCATAGTCATAGTAGCTAGGGTCAGAAGGGACCTAAACAGATCAAGTCTGAGGGTAAAAGGGTCTTCTACTAAGGATAGTAGATATGTAAAGCCTACTTGGTTTTAAAAAACAATTTTTGGAGTCTCTGCTGAATATTGACCTAATATCAACCTAACATTCACACACTTCCGTGTGTGAGAGTCTGTCTTGAATGTTTGTCGTCAGATTAATGTTGGAGTGAAACTTGTGCACATCCAAACACATGCACACAAATGTTACCTTATTTTTAAAACCCTATGCGACTGCTCAGTATGTGTACATACTCACTGTAGGTTTGATTGTGACTGATTCTCTACTAAGTCAGCATTTCCTTTCACCTCTTAGGTTGGCATACTTATTGATTAGGAGGGTTTTTTGTAATTTAAAAATAAGCAACTCAAATTAGTGCAAGCCTGTGATTGCAAGTTGTCTTTGGCAGTGTATCTGACCCTGTTAGTCATACCAAAGCCTGCGTCTGTCTTCTGCCTGCTCCTCTGCTTCAGCAATGGAATCAACAGCTGTAACCACAGATGGACCATGTTTGACAGCTGTCCTGCACAGAAGCCAGGCCTTATAATATCTCTCTCTAGCAGCAGCATCTTGCTGAGTGTCTGATTCTTTGGCTGTCACGTTTGCTGGTTTTTTGGTTGAGTTCCCTGCTGGCAACGGGGAAACTTGGCTGTGAGCCTGAGAGAGGTTAAGGTATGTAAGACTGCCTGGTCATTTTTCCCCTTTTAGTTCTCAGTTTCCATTTCTTATTTTTGATTTTTATGCTTTCTGTTCATCCATAACTTCCTCCTCTAATCCATCTCTGAGACACTGTTCAAGTGTGTTGGTTTAAAGAGTGATTCAATCTGTAACTTCTGCATCCTCATGCTCTCAGGACACCAAAGGCTGTGGTCTACAATACGTCGTCTCAAAAACACATTCAGTATTTACTGAAGTAAAACTTTTTAGTAGAAGTAGAGGGGCTTAGAGGTGTGTAAGGTGCCCTGCAACCACTCTCCTTCCCATTTTTCTGTGGAGAGAAAGAAAGATGGTGTTTGCCTCAGTAGTAAAAAACTGAAAACAAAATAGATATGGTGAACTAGTACTTCACTGGGAGCACATGTCAATTTTAGCATTCCTAAGATGAACCCTTAACAAGCAGGAAAAAAGATTAATTTAACAAGTACCTAAGTGAGGGAAGGAACAGCTAATGGATTCATGCTTCTGTATCTATAATAATATCTTAGACCGGGACCCTGAGTATATACAGTTAGTAACTCCTATTTATATGGGACAAAAACCACATTCCAAAGGATAAATCCTTTTCTCCAGTTTTATCCAAAAGGTATAAGGGTAAGAGTGGGGTTTTATGATAGCAGGAAGGTACTGGTCTACTATTTTGTATGACTATATTAAGTTGTTTTGATACATATGGAAAAATTGTATGTGGCAAAGAAGAAAAGGTGGCAATAGAAAATGGAAAGCAATAAAATTAGTTGGACCTACACTCGCTAGAATTTTTTTTCTGACATTTGTTCTGCAAAAGAACTGTGATGCAAATGCTGTTCCTGACAGTTTCCAAAACTTGTTAGTAGTAGTCTGTTTTCACAACGCCTTCCCCCACTCTGCCATGAACTGCATTTGATTAAAGTTTATTCTGAAAGGTGGGCTCTGTTATACATCTTTTATAGATGTAGGGGCTAGTTAATTCTGAAACATTTTGGAGTTTAAAGTGTAATACTCTTATTCAATAAAGGGATCAGGCCTGCCTTGCTTATTATTTGGCTAGCTCTTTTCTGAGTGGTTCAGGTGTTCCTTATCCTTCAGAGAAGTGAGGTCCTACTTCACCACTACTGTATGTGGTTGGATCCAAGGCCACTCCGCAGTTTGAAGTCAGTCAGGTCACTTGAAATGCTCCAACTTTCTCAGTAGCGTATGGCTATTACAAAGGTGGGAGTCGATTCCTAATGGGATTTTGTGATATTTAAAAGGTAACAGGCACTTGCTAGTTTTCTCTGGAGGAGAGCCTTCATGTATGGCCTTGTCCCTACACCAGCCTCAGTTTGACCTTCAGGGCCTGTTGCAAAGCCTAGGTGTTTAGTGAGGCTGTATTGCCCCAGGAGGTCGGTAATGAAGGTGCATGCATAAGCAAATATAAAATGGGAGAAGTCCAAAGGATTACCGCAGAGACGGCACAACTCCCCCTGCAAGTGAACCACAGATGGGCATTCATATCCTTTCCATCTATGCCCATTCTGGCTGGCAGCAAATAACGCCCTCCAGCCAACTCGGGAGTGCGGCACAGCCACTGCTGGGCGTGTGCTCGCCCCACCCCTGCCTTCCCCTCCTCTCGTGCTAAGTAGAAACTAAGCATCCTCCTGGGCCCGGAGCCCCGCGGTGTGTGCACCGGCCTGCTGCAGCGCTCCCTTCGTCCCGTCAGCCTGCCGGGAGTCCAAGCGAAGGAGCCTGGCCTTGGGTTTAGACCGGTTTCCGTCCGTCCCTGGCAGCCTGTTGCAGCAGCAGCTGTTCCCTGCCCGCTGCGGGCAGCAGGAACCGCATCCTTCGCGCGTCTTCCACAGGCCGGTCGCGAAGGCACTTGGCACCCGGGCACTGCCCCCAGGAGCAGCGCGCCCTGCTCCGCTCCGCTCCGCGCGGCTCCG